CCCAGAAGATGTCAGAAGAGTTCTGGCCATTCCGGAAATAATAGGAGTTTCATAAATTCACTGAAAAGACTTGCTCTATCGCTTTCCTGTGTGGAAATGAAGTGCCTTTTGTGCACTACGACAAGTATGGCTAGAAGAATAGATCCCGAATCTGCTTAGACCAACAAGCCTTTCATCTCCTTCATTTGGCACCAGACCAGCGTGGAAGGGTAAAACACTACTTCTAACTACCACCGGCTGACCACCGTAAGTCATTGGTTAGGTCTCATATCACTCAAAACCCTGCCTTGATTCCGGTTTGGTGTCGGATGCGAGACGGCTTCCCAAGCCAGGAGTCAACAACACCCGAAGACTTTAATAGCACTCCCTTCCTAGTACTCATGGGATGGACCAGCACAGCCGTAGGAAAAGTTCAGTAATTTGCCGATTTCTAACAAGCAATGTGGCTTAAACTTTCACCTTCGAACCTCCAATGTAGTACGGTTCCCAGAAGATGAAAGTTATTGCTAAGAAATGAAAATACTCGGAATAGAAGGGCAGCGTGTCACATTCTCTAGGAGGCTGGCGACCAGACATCGAGGCGACGTTTCGCATGACTGGAAACGTCTAGTGAAAGAACCAGCGAAAGAGGAAAGAACTCGTTGAGGTCATCGGAAACCTTTCTAACAAAGCATCCAACTGACTATGTCGACCTTCTACGAATTGACTTCAATGAAACGATGGTTGGAACTGGAAAACTATCGGTTTCGCTCGTTCACTATACAAAACCATCGGCGAAAGGTCGGTCGAAATTTCCGTGAACACTTGTACCTGGAACTCCCCGACAGAGGGACTGCAAAGGAGAAGAAGGGCTGACTGTTTGACTATAAAGAAGAGATTTTGGCTGCGTGGTGAAACCATTAGATCTGAGCTCTTGGTACGTTTTCCGGCGGAGTTTTGCTTATGGCTGATCTCTACTGAATGATGACTTGGGACGGTACCCACTGAAAATTCTGCCCTTTCCCCAATCATTCCCCATTCACCAATTATTGTTGGAACAGTATACAACTTTTTTTACCGAATCATCACGTGATGAATGCCCAAAGTAGGTGCAGGGAGAGAAGGGGTTAGGGTAGCTAAGACAATGAGAACCGGTGCCCATTCTACTGAGTTTGGGAAACAAATCTTGAATTGCCTCTTACTGGGTCAACCGAACAGGTACGCCCATTTCGCCGGTGATTTACACCAATTACTCGAAGGAAATCACTCATGGTTCTACCTAGAATTATTTTTCATGTTGTAAAGGAGTGACGTTGACGGTCCTGTGGTTTTATAGCTATGGAATTATGTGAGTTTCAGGGAACTAGTACCACGTTCCATTGATCATTGCGTCATAAAAATTCTGTTTCTATCGTTAAATTGGTGAAAATAGAATTTATGATCACCAATAATAATGCCGAAGTGTTTTTCTTCAGGCGTTTCTCATACTATAGCAAATAGGATGAAAACCTGAAGTCAAACACTCAGAGGAATAGATGAAAAATACTCGCCTCCGACTGAGCACAGTCACATACCTTTAAACTTAGCCAACCTTTGAAATACTTTCTCAGTAATGCCGAATGAATGAGGCTCGGTTAAGCCTCTTTCTACGTCATTCGTACTTCCTACATTACAAATAAATAAAGGTACAAGCTTGTGCTGTGCGCCACCAACTTTTGTGGGGCCAACACCTTCACCAGTGGCTTTCCTCAGCAGTACCCACATTCCAAAGACGGTAGCACCGATCGGAATAGGCTGTAAACTTTCCAAGTCAAAAAACTTGAAGCCATCTTTGAGCCTCTCCAGAGATGAAGAGGTCAAAACCTAGGGCCGATCAAGAGCAGAGCTTTTGTCCAACTATCTCTTCAATAGAATAAGACGATAGCATTCCCATTCAATGTGATCGGTCTAATAAGGAGACCGAGAAAAATAGATACAATGACAAGAAAGACTGTTTCCCACACAATCTCGGAGCACCTCAACTTCACATTTTAAACCGCAAGGAAAGCCAATTTCAATTCAGTTGGTTAGCCTAAAATAGCTATCTTCTACCAGTTAGCAACAAGGAGGCTAAGAGGTCATGAAAAGAGAAAAGATCTCCAACATAGTACAGATCTAGAAAGTCCATACTCGTAGTTCTAAGCCACCAGGAGAGAATCCAACTAAAGCAAGAACCTGCCATGTCAAATCCGGCTTCCGCGGGATAACTCCTAATCCGATGAAACAGTAGACCAAGTAAATGTGAGGACCTTTCTTCTCGTTCCCGTTACTATCGGGGAAAAACATGGGCTACTGTAAAAGATAGAATCAAAATTTACAGAGGTCTCTATCTATACGCTGAAATACTGAGAAGCCGTAATTCGTCGGCTTTAAGGGTGAAGATGGCTCAGTAACAGAAGCTTCTTCATGTGGGACCAGAATCCACTCAGGCTCATCTGTCCTTCTACTGTTTCAGCGTCGACTCTACAGTACCACTTCTGCTTTCGAAGAAAACACTTACCGAAACAGTGAACAGTCACGGATGGTTGACTGAACTGACTACCAGTACCAAACTTGCCAGCGAGAATGAACTCAAACGATTGACTCAGGTCTCAACTAGACCCGTTACTCATAAGTAAGGTCGCGTACTTACACAAACGAACTTACCGGTCCTAAGTGGGAGACAATTGGGCCGAGAAAGATAATGGTTCATGTAATTATATCGTTTTACCCTCCTGGTAGTTTGGACAATACGGAGAAAACTGTCGTCTTGCTTTCTACCGTGCACGGCAACCGAGAACAGTTCGTCTGTTTTTCTTTCGCAGTGAATGTGAAGTGCTTATTATTGCCCCATCAAGCAGCGACAAAAAAAAAGTCAATTGTCCAGTACGATGTGCTAGCCGGTTCACCTTGAAAGTTCAGGAAAATCAACTGAATCAACTGGAACATTCTACGAGTTTCCAGATTCTTGGAAGGATAAAATCTTTGTTATGAGGAGACCGATACTTTTACATGCGTTCAAGAGATTCCAGAGCGAAAATGAGGAGAAAAATCACCAGTGCTGATAGACCCGCGCCGTGGAATGGGTCATGCCCATAGTTGCATTCAGTTTCGTTGTAGCATTCAAAAAAAGCTCGAGATTCGCGTGGTAATATTTGGAACAGAGCGCTAAATGGGCCAACATTCTTGGCCTCCGAAGAGAACTAGAATAACATGAACAAACTTACAAAAAAGGAAGAAGTTTTGGGAAAGGGTGGATCCAATTCAGGAGCCGACCCTTGTACTACTTACACTAATAGTATAGTGGCGCCTCTAACAAAGCCCTGGTCACGTCTAGATTGAAATTCTCCTCCAAAAGCTTCCCTTTGTGCAATTCGTAAGATCCAATCTGCTTCAGCCAAAGTCCTACTCGCGACCAATGCATACCGTTACTAATGCCTCGAGTCAATTCGCTATCATTTCAGAAATATTCCCAAAGCATAGCATCGGATGGACCGATATTCCTCAGACGTTCAGGGCCGGTACAAAAGAACCGAACCGAGAAAAGTGAGAGGAATGAGCGCAGGTGAAATTCAATTCAGAAAGCGATCCTTGCACTAGGCAAGCGACAGTGGAGACAACAGCAACTGGTCCACCGCTGCTAGACTACATCGTTAGCTTGTAGAGCTTGCAGATACTGTTCAGCAGCAAGAGAGGAGAAAGGCCATTTTGAATTCGGAACAAGAGTAAGCAGATACAGGCTTTGCTAATTTTTCGAGATGATCGACCGGTATCTAGAAGAGGTCGATGGGAGCAGAACACTCAAGCTACTGAGAACTGAATGATACAACGTAACGGGTGCTTCCGCCCGTTGCGTAGGCCAGCGAAAAATGGCGCGGATGACGCAACATCGTCGTCGCTCATCTCTGAAAACAACAAAGGGGCTCAAAGAGAAATCATCGAAATGACTGGCGATGTTTTCCGGGAAGCAAAAGCTGTTTCATTCTGAATTCCTTCTATATGGAAACGTTTCAAAGCGGGCAGTTTCCGACATTACGGTCCACGTATAATCTGCAGGAAAGGACTGAAAGGAATGCTGTTTCTCATCTTGGAACTATATCCTAAAGTAGAGACCGTAATAAGGTCAAGTGGTATAGTAGAAGATTTTACATAAAGTTCTAGCCCTTCAAAACGCCCCTCCCTCGACTTCAGAATCATTAACTGGGAAGTGCTTGGGACGGGAATGATTTTTTATTGAAACACATTTAAGATATAAATCTAAACTTGAGAAGACTTCTCTTTTTTGAAGCAGCTAAGCTCCCACTCACTACTTTCCCAGTCAGTATCAACCTGTGTTTTCCTGAAACTGCCTGACTCCCACTGTCCTCATAACTGACTCCGTGGAGGACTTATTGAACATTCTTGAGCTGCTTCATGTTCCCATCAGTAATCCCTTCTTGACTGGCTGACTGATACTGACAGACGACAGATTCCTGACGATCTTTTGCAGGATTTTATCGTATGAATGGTGGTAAACACCTCCGCTTACTTGCTTAACTCAAAGCAACTTAATCAACACAGCACTCAAAATAACTCAAATTCAGGTTCACTAGCTCAGAATTTCCGACAAAAAGTCGCTTACTACTATGAATGGATGATGAACTTACGGTATATGTGATCAGTTGATTCATTCAACTATTTACTCAAGTACACCCATAGGTGTGCCACGTAACTCAGAAGCAAAAATCAAGTGGCAAGGACCAAGTTTGGAAGAAGAAGTAGAAGAGCAGTGAAGAAGTAGAGTAGAGAAGTAGCACATAACAAGTATTCAGACCTAGGAGTTGACATTTCAAAGAAAAGCTCCTGAATTGATGACTAGGGGCCTTGAAGAGGCAGCGTTTCTTGTAGGTAAAGTAAAGGAACGATGTGGGGGCCAACCAGTGCAGATACAATCAATATGGCCAATCAAAACGTAGCCCCCTGCCACACCTAAAAACCCAGGTCAATCCAGACTGGGTCACCCACTACTGATGTTCCGTCCTGATACCCTGAGCAACAGCGTGGTCTCCACGAACTTCATCGAACTGCTGCACCTGTGCTGCCCAAAAGGTGGCAGCAGCCCCATCGTCTTGTAGTTTCAGCAAAACTGCTCCAAGCTGAGATTCAAGTGAAAAAAAGCACCTCATCTCGAAGTATTATGTGTCAGAAACTGCTACAAATGTCGGATTCCGATCTTCGAATAGGACGACTGCAGTTCGATCTCCAAGAATGTAAGGGAACTCACTACATCTGTCTCTACGAGCACCACATGCCCGTCCTTCTGAAGAATTCGCATCACATCCTCATCGAAGACCTTCTGGAGTGATACTGGACAAGTACGTCGTCGCCATCGATCAATCTGAAACAATCACAACAAAATCAATCAATTTCTATATCTATCGCTAAACTGAAACCTCATACCTGACGATCCTTCCGTCCTACACGGTTTAACGATGATCCGTACTGAACCGAACCCTTCAGGGACACCTGAAAGAGTGATAGCCGAGTTCTGCCATGAATGGGCCGTCGATCAACGTACCCGTTCGCTGATCTCCTGATCGGATTCGCCCGATGCTGATGACGATCCGTAGCCGGACGACGCCGATGCTACCTGGGAAGTCTTCTTCGACGGTAGTTCCGTTTCTAACTGGAAAACGATTCATATGAGGCTTTGTGGTAAAATTGTGAAATTATTCAGCATATTATTAATTTTGTGATTCCCGCATTTTTCATGAAATATGCTATTTGATCCCAATCATCGATTGATCAGCTATCATGTACAAAACTATGAGCTCAAAGAGAATTATTGACCTACTTTCACCTCGTAAGCTCCATATGTTCACTGCTTTTTCACTCTAAAGAGTCTGAAAGAGGTAAGAACCCTTGTCGTACAGCAAGCGCGCGCGATTTCTGGCTAGTTGTCTCATCACTTTGCTTCAGTAGTTTGTTAAGCTATTCTCCTAGAGCGAGCAGACATGAACTGGGATGCCACGAATGCTTCGCGGCACTGCTATGGATGCGCCATGCATGCGATATACCATGAAAGAGTTGTGTAGCATCTATCACCCGAGCATGCTTTTTCAATAATTACGTGTTTCATTTGAGTTTTCATTTCGAGATGGAGCAAAGGTAGACCGTAATGGTGTTCCCTCTAGAAGGTCAAGAGCTCAAACAGGGGTATCTATGAGAGCTTATTCCACTCCAGTAGACTACGTTACGCACTTTTTTTTTCCAAAGCATAGGCTTAGTTGATAGGACGTATATAAGCCGTGAACATATATCGAGGTTTTTTTTATGAAAAACTTCCTCGTTGCCGAATATTATGGTGCTCGCTGTCACGTAAACAATTGAGCTGTGGCGTTGCCAATCCTTCTGTATTGCTTTTCCATCAAGTAATAGAAAGTTGTAATAAAATATGTGTTGCTCACGAACTACCCAACTTTTATTACACCGTTTTTCGTTACTTGGATGTATCATGAACCTACTACATCATATTTTAGAGATAGTTTTTTTAGGAGCTTTCAATTTTAGGTGTTTGTGACTTTTACCGTCGAATCTATTGGAGGTTTTTTAGGTCAGGTCAAAGCTGTTTCAAAGAGCACCTAACTTCTTGTCAACTCATCCCTTCAGTGAAATCGTGAAATCTATTATTATCTCCACCTTTTATTACCACATTTTCGAGAAGAGTTCATAGAAATCTTCCGCCCTGGCGTTTAAGCACTGCCTATCAGAACATTAAGAATTTTTTTTCAGAGGAATCGTGCTGCCCAAGATCACCGAGTATACCAGTTACTTGACTGCTTATCAGGGCTGGCGCCATTGACGTAACTATATGAGGGAAGTGGAAGTAAAAGATACGCATATCATTGCCGGCAATCGGCCAATCAGTGGAAAAAGCTCACCTGATATTCAGAGTCGTTTTCAGGAGATGCTAGTGGTGGACTGTGACGTCCTGAGATTGCTGTGAATGAATCCTCGTCAGGAGTTGTACTTGTATCGTAGTCGGTGATAGGGCTGTCTTCTGAATACAACAGATTCGTTTGAGAATTGAAAATCTCCAAAAAAGAAGACAAAGCCCAGTGAATCGAGCTTTATTAGGAATCAGCAAACAAAGAATTTGAAGAGTCGGATTTTGATTTAATTTTTTGAATTTTAATTAGATTACCTTTTTACCCTGAGAATTTGTATTTTCACCTTATGCTGAAAGGGGTGAGATTTTTACGGTATTCAAAGGCCCCACGTCCACAATGTGTTAATGTTACTTCGAGAATGACCAATTTTAAACCGCCCAGATGGATTAAAGCGCGGGTCTGTGCAGAGGGTGACCTGGCATATCGTCGTAAGAGCAAATGTAAGAAGGATAGCAGTAGTCGACCCCCCTCACGTCGAGATGCGCCATGCTTCCTAGTCTCGTCTAGAATTGAAGGTTCGTGATTCACATAGAAACCTCTGAGGTTGGACTAATTCATTTTAGAACATAATGGTTCACCACTTCGCCAAAACATTGGGCAAGAAGGGTCTTGATTGATCTTGATCTCAGAGACACACATGGTGCATTTCAGAGGGCTTAAATTCCAAGCGTGTAGGAATGGGATGGGATAAACTCGCATGGGGTCCCAATGGAAAAATCAATGGGATAAACACTTCTGGGATCCCAGGAGCGTCCATAACCATGGACCAGCAAGATCTCAATGGCCCAGGGCAATTCCAAAAAGCGTTAAAATTAAAATTCTCAAAAAGATTGAAGGATTTCTTTTCTTCAGAAAAAAGAACTATTTCAAGGACGGGGAACAGCTTTGGAAAAACCTCAAAAAATGGATCATGCAAAAAGTAAGTAAACAGAATAATTTCAATAAATCCGGAATTGCAGCATAACTGTCTCCAGCTGTGGTGTTACTTTGAGAAAAAATATGGAAATGAATAGAAATCGGAATAGGAGCTCAGAAGCTATCCACCACTTGAGTAAACAGTAAACAAACAAACAAACATTTTACCTTTGACAAAGGACCTGAATCGCTGCATAACTGTTTCTAGCTGTGGTGTAACTTCAAAGAACGAAATGTGATACGTAACAGAATAAAATATCTGTCGAACCGCTTATCACATACTCTTTACTACCTATACCACGTGCGTCCACGGCGGGAGAAAAAGTGTTCTTTGGGTCATGGGCTCGGGAAGGCAGAAAGTTTCTGCAAAATCTTTGCAGAACGAACCAAATCACCTACCTAACTGGTCTGCGATACTTTCACCATACGGACAGAACATGACCTCGCCGTTCCGAAGACGTTGAATTGACCCCAAATAGGACGTATAGCCCGGGTACGGCGGCGGTGTGACGAAAATGCTGAAAAAATCTTGTTGTACTTTGTCTTTTCATGCGTGATTGGCTATTCAACTTTTCTAGAAGTCCTTTTCTTCCTTTTACTGAACGAAAAATCTTCAGTACAAAGAGAGTCCTCATGTTCAATCACGGCACAGGAAATTCATGTTTTTTACCCGATTTTCAACCAAGTGATGTCGTTAATAAAGGCAAATTGAACCATAAAAACTGAAAAATGAAGTTTTTCAACGTTCACCATTGTCGAATGCGCCCTATATTTATTAGGGTTACCACTGGAGAAACAGGTTGTGTTGGGTGACTTTGGGAATGATTGTAATGGCGCTGAATAGCTCCCTCACTAGTCGTCCATCTCTTCTCCGACTTCCCTGATATGACAGGACGAGTTTGGGAAGTGCTCCGATTAGGAAGTGATTGGAAGAAGTTGCTTATCAGGACCACTCTACGTGTGGTCCTCATAAGCAGTTTCTTCTAACTGCTTCCTGATCGGATTATTTCGACAGCTTTTGTCTGGGAAGGAGTTCAAAATCAAGGAAGAACACCAAATGTCACCATCAACACCTTTTATTGCATCAAAGAACACGATATTTTTTGGAACAAAGTTTGATAGCGGGGTCATAAAATCGGGGAAAATTGTTGATAGTAAAATGGCCATTCGCTCAACCACACTCATTTTGTTTCTAGGTGATACAGTGCAATTTGTTTCATTCTAAAGATGATATGACCTATGGTTATCAGCTCATAATACTTGAGAAGTATAGGAAGTATAGGTAAAAAAGATGACAACACTCTAGGTCTTAAGATTCACCGAAAATGTGATCTCTGAAACTATTTGGCCTCTATTTCAAGATTTTTACGATGCGCCAAGATATTGCAATAATAGAAGAGACCAAAAAATGAACAAAAGTGAAGAAATTGATGAAACTGCTACAACAGCCAAAGCTAAAATACCAAATACTGGTTGGAAACCCGTCTAGGCTATCGTAGTGCTATGACTTCATGGGTCTAAGGGCACGACACATCTAAGATGACAAAAACATTGATTCGTGCCTGGGTTAATGGCATTCGCATGATTTTCAGCATAACTGCAAGTGCAGAGTGACCTATACAGAAGAGGCGCCGGCTGCTGCTTGTTCAACTCGCAGGATCAAAGTTCGCCAAGAAAAGCTCAATCGTCTGCAACAGTGGCGTTAAATAAGCCGACTGAGTATCAGGCGATCCACTATGATCTATTTGGAAATAAAAATGAATCCCTGAATGAAAAGAAACAGACCGAACTCTCTTTCTGTGAATAGGAGAGCCGCCAGTGGACATACGGCAGCGTAGCCACTTTTACTGCTACTGCTGACTTAACAGAAGCGTCGGGGGCTGCGCCCAAGTGATTACGACTCAGAATGCTAAATTGACTGTTTTTTCCAGCGGGATTGTGCTCTGTTCCAAATCCGGAGTCGAGGAAGTGCACTTTGCCAGCATCAGAAAAAAAGGTATGATGTCGATGGCGTCAACGAAGTCTTCCCATAGTGTCGAATGAAATCGATTATGATCAAACAATTCGTAGGACCTTCGGTTCGAATTTGCCAAGAAGAGAGAGAGAATTTTGATAGAAGTTTCGCCCTCACGCTCCATCGTATCTAAACGCACAAAGGGTCGATTTTTATTCCTAAAGATCGGGCCGTTCTAGTTCTCGCCTGACCCTTTCATAAACCACTATAAACAAGATTTCTTTTTAAAGACATCTGCAGAGAGAGTGTCTTGCTAGAGAAAAAGCTAAAAGCCCCAGAGTATACGCCACACATCTGTCGTATACCCAAACTTCAGAGACGCCAGTGGAATACTGAGATTCCCCTAATCGACTGTTACAGAAGTCTCTTCTTCTCAGCCTATCAGTGATACCGTCAAGCAAGGCACATTTCCGAAAGCTCTGACTGATCTCTTCTGGAGAACGATCTGATACAGCGAAAATCCAGATGAGCCAGTTAGACTTCTAAACGTCGTTTGATTCCCGAAGGGATACTCTGAAAACGCACTGATTCCTTACATTCAGGTAGGAAAACCTATATGTACTTTTGCCTAACACAAACTACCTAAAGCTATGTCAAAGCCTAAGGTCAATCGGGTGTCCTCGGTTGTCGGATATCAAAGGTGAACAGGTCTGAGGACTTCATAGAATTTATCCCAGAACCGTGTGTATGTGGCAGGTATTGGGGTCCCCTGCAGCTGAGCAACCTCCGGAAATTATAGACTGATAGATGAAATTATTGACTGATAGATGAAGGGGATCGAACGATGCTCGCTGTAAAAGTGACATCGAACAAAGAACGCCGTGTTTCCCTAGCATTTTGCTTTGAAATGCCGCCTGGATTGTAATGTTTGGTTTCACGGGAATGTCAGGCGAGAATTCAATTTGTTTTCACACAGCCGCAAAAACGGTCGCAGGAGGTGTCAAAAGTCAAAAGGAGCATCGATCGTAGGATGCAAAGAGAAGAACTTACAGCAAGTATAGAAAGCATGCTAGTCAGAATTCGAAAGTACTTTTAGATAAATTTATTCGATAAAATGATGAAAGTCCTCTGACACCATCAACCCCGTTTCAGGGATGCGCCTCATATTGGACTCCCCTTCAAAATCTACTGATCCGAGGTTCGATCGTGGCTGTGCTAAAGGGTCACGTACCACTACGTTATGCTCGCCCAAATTTGTTCGATCATTTCTTAAAAACATTCCATTTTTAGAGAGGCTACTCTGCAGAAAGAACTTCTTTCAGATAAGCAGAAGTATTAAGTATCCAGAAATAGAAGCTGCATCCCATAGGATATCCCTGCTTGAAAATTCTGTCTAAAGTAGGAAACTGAAGAAAATCCCAATGCATTCGATAGCAATTTTACGATAATGGATAATCAAATACTAGAGAGAGGAAAGTTCTCTCAAAGGCTAAAAAAAATGATTCGCTAGGAAGGGAAATGCATGTGGTTTCCCATTTTCCAACGGAAACAGCAATTATGCAGGTAGCGAGTTTGTTGAGGGAAAAGTAAATGGATGCAGCAGGTTTCAACAACCGCAGAAAGGTTGAACATGCTTGAAATAGCTACAGTTGTTATCCCGAACAATTTGAAGACTCTCCTCAGTCCGAAAAACTACTTCTCCTTGATGACAAACGCGCACTCGAGAAAGAACCATCATCACACTCTTGTGGCGAGCAGACCCGGCGAAGGAGATGAGGAGCGTATGGTGAGGTAAGGAGAACCCCTGATTCCATTATGTCGCTACTTCCCACAGGATGTGAACACTGGACTACCAGCAGTCATAGGTGAACTGAGGAGAAAGGCTCTATCGCATTTCAAAAAATATCGGGAGAATTTCCTAGGTGAATAATCAGTTCAGACCTCCCATTCACATTAGTGAAGCTTCATGAATTTCAAACAGCGATTATCGGAGCAGTCTACTAAAGAATCATTCTATAGTTTGCAACAAGATGGGGAACACCCAAGCTACGTACTCTAGAATAGGTGGGCTGGGAACGAGTTGATCCAAGATCTGATCAAAGGTTATGCGGTCAGCACACCAGCAGTTATCACTGGTTTAAAATAACGAAGCTGCTCACCAACAAAAGGCCTGTCGTATGAGGGACCGTTTACTTAACTCGCTACCTCAAAACTCCTGCAGCACCCCATATCCACTTAACGTTAATCTACACTGAAGGAACGTAGGACAAATGCCGGCTTTCCTGATTGCTTCTGGATCTGAGATATGGGTACTCCCTCTAAGAATGAAATAGCACTAGTAAAAAACGATCAAGGGCTGAAAAGCCCTGTGTAAGTAGTTGCACCACAGGCAAAAGCACTGATACCACAGACGTTGTCAGAGTTACGAGATCACCTATTCCAACCAAGGATTCCTTGGAAGGGGAAGCTCACTCATACAGCTTGAAGTGACACTTTGGTTTGCAAATCTGATATAATCTGCAAGTTCTGTGAGTCTTGTTGTAAAATCGAAACCCTAGAAGAGGGCTTTATTCCCATCTCAGCCAAGGATCTGAATTGATACTGAGCCTTCCTGAGTCTACAAGTTCTCTGAATGGTAAATAAACATGAATTTCGATTACGTAACCAGTTTCAAATGAACTAGATGGGCGGCTCATTCCACGACGAACATCAAAGCTAAACTCTACTTTTTTCCATAAATCTCGCTGATCTCAACGAAGATTTCCCTATAAACAATTTTCCATAGCCTATTTCACATAGAGCTTGCAAAAAATACCAAAGATTCTGGAGAATTGGGAAGAAGTAGACTGTGGACCCTCTTTTCTTTGCCCACAAAAACCTTTTCCCTTTCCGGTACCGCTCTAGTTCCCTTTTCTGATAGTATGCTTTGTTTCTCTTTCTGACGGCCCCTCTTTGAAGATTTCTGACCATTTTGAAAGAAATCTGAATGAAAACACCTGCACATTCGGCGGTCAGGCTTTCGAAGTGCCGCTCCGGATTTGCCACCACCACCACCACCCAGCATTCTCCGCGTCCTTCGCGTCAGGGGCCAGCAGTCTGAAGTTCAACCAGTTAACAAAGGAGTTGGTGGGTATGGTACGAAAACAATCGAAATGCACGTTTACACATAAAAAGTAAAACACTAAATAAAGCTGTTAGTCAAAAAACCCTCTCTCGAAGTTGACAGAACTCGTCCGAACACAAAAGGACGTAATAAACACACACACTTGACTTCTTGTGGTAGACGTTATAAGGAACAACTAAACTGGTTGGAAAGACAAACAGGTAGAACTTCGTCTGTCAGGGAACTTCAGTGGGTAGGTAAAGAGATGGTGTAGTGAAGAACAGCGGCACTCCGACAGTCAGGGGGGACCTATTCTTCTCCTGTTTACATTACAAGGTCAATTGCTCGTCTCTTGTAGTAGCAGAGTAGTTCGGCTCTTGAGTCACCCGGTATCACTGGCTAATCCATTATTCCTGAGAGATCTCCTCTCCTTGAGCAGGGGTTTTTTTACCGTCTTACTGCTGGATTCGTGGTAATAACAACATCTTGAAGACGTCTAATTATTTATCGTGTCATTGACATCAATATTTGATCCAAAAATTCTGAAAAATTGGGTGGTGCAATCTATCAGCTGATTTTTTTCTCAATTTGTCACTAAAATTATACAATTCTGCTTATAGTGAATTAGACCTGATAGATGGATTACCTACGTAGACGGGT